AAAATACATTTTCTGTTTTGCTTATCTGTCACCGATTCACAGAGGGACGGCAGTCTAATTACATTTCCAGTATAGTGGTTCTTTGAAGTATAAACTAATTAGGAATGGGCATTGCAAAAGTTTAGACCAGCACTCAGGAAAAGAATGCTTCATGTAACCATCACTAATTCATTAGGATAATCAAAGCTTTTTTCCTTTGAGTAAAGATTTGCAGATTCTCACCTACAACAGTGTACTATATATAATACTTCTTTGTAGATCCTCTGAAAGCACAACTCTGTTTAAAAGTAAATTAGCTAAATTGAAAGGCTAATTGCCTTGAGCTTCAAGTACAAAGGATGTCCATGCTTAGATTTCTTTGCCAGCTGCAAGAGGCTAAGAAGATGTGGTTTCAGAAATCCTAACAGGGTATCTCATGACACCTAAGAATTTTAATGTGGTGTCATAAATCACTTACTTATTCTTGCTTCAGTATTGCTTGCAGAAGCTATATGGATAGATCAGTTCTGTGTACTGGGGACGAAATGTGGCAGGGGGACAACTTGTTTAGTCTGGTAACAGTTTATGTCAAATACCTGAAAAGCTCTTACATTTGCATTACTTCCTCTTATAATTTTGATCAGACTAAAAATGAGTATCTCTAGTTTGAATCGGAACTTACTTTTGCAAGAGAAAAAGACTTTCAAATACCTGTAAAAAATGGATATGGCATACAGTTTCTTTATGGACTTGGATTTTTTTGGATCATTTCAGCTGAAAGTTTTCTAACATACTTAGATGCTCTTGTTTCCTGCTTTTTTTCTTGTTTCCACATTCTTACCTTTCAATTTTTAATTGGGTCTAGTCTTCTAAGTCGTTGAGTAAATACAACTACAGTGATACAGCACTGCTGTTGTAATCACACTAGCTGTGTGTCACTCCAGTGTGATTGACAGAATCATGTCCTCTTTGTATGGGACATTTTAATTTGTGGATATTGTTATGTATCAGCTGCTGCTGAGACTTGGCTTGTACTGTGCTATATCCAGGTTATACAGAAGTGGGAGCTCACAGGATTGATCTATTTTATTTTCCCCATATGATAATTTCAATCCTTTCTACGTTTTAATGAACTCATGTTCTTGTTTTAAGTCTTAAACCTACTTCTAAATACTTCACAATTCCATCTATAACTATTACTCCAGATGACTTTTTTTTTTATTTCACACAATATAATGATCATGTAACTCCTCTTTATTCTCAGTTCACTGGCTGTAGTCTCAAGTAGTTGCTTCTGTTACACGATAATGTTATTGAGCTATGTGTAAGCCTAAGGAATGAAATGGCCTCATTTCATATCTGACTCCTGGTGAGTGAGAATAAGTATCATCCAGAACTCTACAAAATCTGTCTGCACTGAAAAGCTCTTTTTGAAGAAGAAGAAACAAAAAGACATTTGCCAGATGCTTGCTTGCATAAATTTGTGTGAATTGGAAATGTAGAGAATAGGAAGAATGCTCAAGATTTTTGGTGGTGGTGGTGTTTGGTTTTATTGTTTTTTTTTTTGTTTTTTTTTTTTTTTTTTTTAATTAGAATTTAATGTGTATGTCCAAGTTTCTTTCACAAAAGTGTAAAGCATTCAGATAGCCTTCTAAAGAAAGGTTACATCTTACAAAATAAATCGCATTCATGGTGAGATTCTTAACACTGACTCAATGCAGAATTGTACTTGTTCTGTATATTCTAGAGCCAGGACGTTTCAGCAGAGATTTTTAAAGGTGTCTTTTTCTAACTCTAACTTTATAGAAGAAAGGAGGGAGACAGTATTTTAAAGTCAGATGGGACTTCATGTGAAATAACCTTTTTATTTTTTGAACAAATACATACACCACAAGAAGTGATCAGTTATGGTAAAAGCTGTGTTACTGTGTGAAAGATGTGCATGCTATAAAGCCTTGGTGGATGTTTGCCGCCAACATTTTCTTCTTAAAGACTTCAGAAGGGACTGGACAAGGCTTTTCAAACACAGATGATTTGTTGTACCAAATGTTCAGGTCTCAAATCCCAGGAAGACGAGGGCTGGGATTTCTGTGTAGGAGTGGGCTGGTGGGGTTTGGTCTCTGGCTCCATGTACCGGTCCTGTCCAGGGTTAGGCTGGTCAGAGTATGCAGCTGCGAGTGCTCCTAAAGCCAAGGTAGAAGATGGTCAATGTAGATATTTTTTCAGAACTGCTTTGCATCTGCTGTTCCTATCAGTTGCTGGGAGGTCAGTGCTGCTTATAATCAGGTCATCATTTAATTTAAATGCAGAGCTTTAGGCAATCATGGTTATTTTAAGATTTCAGCTTGTGGTTATTAATTCTTAAATTAGTAGTAAGAAATTGCTTTAAGGACTCATTTGTCCTGTGTTAATGAAACTAAGAGTACTTTGTAGTAAAAGTGGGTTTAAAACTATTCTGTTTGTAAAAACAAAAGTGAAACTCGGACAGTGGTTTCTTTTTCTTTGAAGGTTAATTTTCTTTCCAAACTGGGAGCTGGGATGCCATAGGGTATAGGTGTGGTGTCTGAATCCTTGCTGCACTTAGTATTTCTTTCAGGGTGCGTCCATGTTAAAAACATTTTTGGTCACATCAGGAGTGTACTTTTGAGGCATGTGTCCATATTTTCCCCCACATACCCTGCTCTTTCATTCCTTTGGGTGAAAGTAAACCAAAATGTGCAGTCCAGGAGTGTATGTATCTTGTGCTGTAATGATGATGGGCTAATGTAGTACCTTTCTGAAATAAACCCCCTTTGAAAGGTTCTGGTGCTGTTACAGGTACTTATCAGTAGCTGTCTGCTCCATCAGTCTGTCTTCTGGTCCACGCAGCTTCCTAATGAAGATGTTTGCTGCTGCCACTTGTAAATGTATCCAAACCAACTGAGTTTCATTAAGATCTTCTAAACTATTGAGATAATTACTGAATTATATTTTGAGTTGTTATTTCATTTCTGCAAACTTATGAGATTTCTGACGAGCCAGGACTTCTAAACTGTTACCTTCTTTTGTTATTAAATAATTATGTTTGTAAGTTTATAGCATCTAAAACAATATAACATAAAAGCACTTTTTTTTTTTCAAAACCTTTTACTTCAGGAAACAAAACCAGCAGCATTATTTTTTGAAATAAAAATACACAGAAAACAAAGGAAGTAGGGGAAGTTATTTATGGTTTAAAAAACACCTTGTAAAGTAACAAATACTAAAGCTCTACGCAGATTAAATTTTCAGATGAAAATGTCATCTAAGCTCAGCTGAGTCAAGGATCTTGGTTGCTTGCCTTGAAATATGATACTTATGCTTAAATGATTTAGTGTGACAGTGTCTAGCCTAGGTTTTCAGGATCACTAGTATTTTGTTTTTAAAAGCAATTAGGTACCTGTAAGCTACAATTATTTTTAATAACTGTTTTTTGTTTTAATACTTGATGTGATGTGTATCTTAATGAAAGTATTGTTTATATTTTTTGTTTATTTGATGACAGGACTGTCAGTTATATGAAACAAGTATGACTATGAACTATTTATTTAGAGTACTTGATCGGTGAATCATGCTTGACGAGGAATCTGTACAAATACTGAAATTTTAAGCATGGGATAGATACACTCTGTCCTACCATATAATTGACTCATTTAAATAGCCTATCTGTGAAGTTGTTTCCATTTACATACCTGTGCCAAAGAACCAGACTTTCTCCTGGTAATATGCTCATCTGGTAATGAGAGTAGTATTCCAGTATTGCTTGTGAATACAACACTGTTTTGGAGAGGATTGCTATGACTGCTTTTGTGTTTTGTTGTGTGTGTGGAGGTGTGGTTTCTCTCATTCCTCCCACCTAACAGGTTGGTAGGTGTGCACAAAGATCTGTGTTGCTCTGGTTCCAGGGCTGAAAATGGGACCTTGCATTTGAAGCTTCTTTACTTCTGAAAGCTGACTATAGATGCAGTCTTGCCTGGAAAGAGCTCCTCTTCTGCACAGCTCCCTGAGCCAGCCTGTGGCTGATCCAGAGTATTTGGGTGGTGGTGGGAGAGAATAAAGTGTAAACAGCAAGTTGTTTAGCCAAGAAAACAGAAATATTTTCTATTGGATTTACCCAAGACCCTTCTTCCCCTTATAAAGAGCAACACTCCCTCCCCCCCCCCCGCCCACCCCTCTTTTCTTCTCTACTGGTTTAGCAGCATACCTTAAATAAAATATACACCTCTCCACCTCCTCCCACCACCCCCCATATATATAAAACTGTTCTTTGTGCAGCTTGGCTCATTTATCATCATGAGGTTTTTATTTTCTAGGGACAAGTGCATATTTCAGGCTCTTGGATTGTTGTTCAGGGACTGTCATTTACTGTGTGTTTGTGTAGCTGCCAAAAGACTAGTTTCTAGCTGGCATTTTCCTGTATGATAGTTTTAACTGTGAAGGTATTGATGGACTACTATAGGGAATGTCTTAATGTTTGTGTGAAGGCTCAAGATTTGGGTGTATATAAAAGTAGAAAGTATTCATTAGTCTCACTTGAACAGTCTGCTTGCTTTCAGTGTTTCAGTAACATCTCGTCATCATCCTTTTTGTTGAATAATTGTATTTGAGGCAGTGGGTACTGCTATGGGCATTGGAAAGTGAAAAGCTCTGGAACCAGTGTTTAGCGAGGCAGAGGAAATGTATTTGAAAATAATCTTAACAACTTCTAGAGATGCAATGATAAACCTGCTTTAAAATAGAGAGCTTGCAGAACAAAATAATGAGTTGTGAGTTGTTCTTGTGTGCAGGCTGTGATATATTGCCAACTTACTATTTCTGAGCTCTGCAGTGTGTCACAAATGCATGTATTTCTCTGTTAAGCGATGCCTCTGCAATTTGGAACCTTACTTGTTGAAACTGGTCTTTGGTTCATGTTGTATAGCATTTTAAAAAAGAAAATGCTGATTTAGTAGTAAGCATTATTAGTTGGCTTCTAGTAACAATTTTGTCTGCTTGCTTTGTAGGTATGAAACGTCCGTTAAGTCCTGACCACGTCTTTGAAGATGGGATTATGAATCAACCAGCTATTCTACAGGGCTTTGAAGAAAAAGGACTGAGGAATGACAGACAGGACTATCAATTAAGCAAAGAAAAAAAGAAGATACTGTTTTCTTTCTGTGAAGTGTGCAATATACAGCTGAACTCTGCAGCACAAGCTCAAGTTCATTACAATGGGAAGTCTCACCTGAAAAGAGTGAAGCAGCTAAATAATGGAAAACTCCCTACAAGTACGGCTCCTGGCACTTTGTTTGCAAGTACAAGCACAGGTACATGATTAGTATGAGATGTTGGATTTTGGTCAAGGAATCTGAGGAAGATTTTAAGCTCTACCTTCCTTACCCAACATGACCATTAAACTTAATATAAATACTAGTAGTTCAGAATTACTTGTGCATTTATTTTCCTTTGAAGCCAACTTCTATTGAAGCAATATTGCATTAATGCATGATTAGTGGACCAGTTGAGCCTTGTGTAGTTGAGATTTGGTCTATTTAAAAGTAGCTGTTGTGGCTTCAAATAGTCATGCATTTTGTCATCTGCTTTTGTTCCCAAAAGAAAGTTCTGGAAGGGTGCTATGTGTACAGGGGAAACTTTTAAAAGACCTGTACTGGTGGGAGGAGGAAGAGAAGAGCTGGAATTTACAGGCCTTCCCCTTTCATTGTTTCTGCTTTCAGTGGTCTGCTTTTTAATTACTCTTAATCAAGTGAGAAGTAATTTGAAATAATACTTTTTACTTACTGGGCAAAACAAAGGTACCAAATGCTTGGGCAAAATGTGTTTAACATGCACAATGTAAAGGCGTAGAGTACATGATGTGGTTTGTTTTTTTTTTTTTTTTTTTTTTGTGTTTTTTTTTTTTTTTGTGTTAAACTTATTTCAGTGTTAAACTCAGCTCAGCTATTCTGAGAAAAATGTAGTATTTCCTTACTTCTCTATGCATATAAGAAAGTGAACACATGGAACAAATGATTCAATCTGGTCATAAGAGTAAGGATGTTGTGACTCTCCTTCCCTTTTTTTAAGGGGTCCTGGTATGCCATATGGTCTCTTCCTCTGATGTTCATAATTTAAGGATTTTTCTGCAGGATTATCCTTTTTCTTCAATGTTCCAACAGCACTGAAAATTTGTTAAAACACTTTTAAGGATGCTTTTCTTACGGCCAGTTGAAATATAGATACTTTCTTCCCTTCCATTTATTTTGTTAAGGAAAATTCAGGGTTTTTTGACATTCTGTGGAACCCAAAAGGGCCAAAGTTGATCTTAAAAAGCATTCTTTACATCTCAAGCAAGTGTAGAAAGTCATCCTTTTTAGTTCTGAGATTAAAAAAATGCTGCAGGTTTAAGGAATTATTGTCTACAAAAAGCAAAAGTGGCTGCTTATCAACACTTGGTATTGATGAAGTAACAGATTTCAAATCTTCATGAGAAAAGTTTTATGAATTTTATTAGAGATTTTTTATTTGCCACATAAGGGGATTTGCTTTGGAGTTTTCTTGTTTTGTATAGAAATAGGCAAATGGTATTAAAGGGTTTAAGTTTTTCTTTGTTCTGATTTTGGTTCTTGTTAACCGAAATTACTTAATTGTGTGTGTTCTTAAAACAGCTTAATATCTGTGAGACATTCTAACTTCATTTAAATTCCTCTGCATACTGATAGAAAACATTTTAAATGTTTGCAGTGTATATTTTTCTGTTGCTTTTTGTTATCTGGACCCCTGCACCTGATGTCTTTGCTGTCATTCCTGGGGATCACAGCTGATGCTCTGGCACCATTCCTCAAAGAATGCTCTGATTCTGAGAATATTTTACGCTTGATGGAACACATGCTTTGGGTTACTGTATAGCTAAGGAGTTAAAATTCATGTTTCTTTGGGCTTTGTTCACTGATCTCTATATTAGACTATATCCTAGTTATTTACTAGTTATGCTGGTCTATTCAGTGTATGTTGAAATAGGCATTGTGTTTTCATAGCTGAAGGGTGTGGGTTTCACAGTATTTTAAAGAAATGCCTTGCATAGGCAGTTTATTATTATTGCATGGGCAATTTAATATACTGCATAAGAGCCAGTAGGAGAACAAAATTTACTGAAATATAATTCTCAAATAACAGTTTCCAAAAATAAGTACAAATTAATTTTCTTATAAATTGACATTATCCAGGCCCAATTTTAATCCATGTCCTCTAGAGTGCTTTTACCCCTTGTAATGGGAGTCTGCCTTTCCCACTTCTTTGGGTAACATTGTAAACAGAATTAATTGTGCAGATGGTAAGAGAACAATTATATTCATCTCATTTCACCAGTAAACAGACTTTATTCCACGTGCGAAGGGAGCAAATAACTCCCCTTCATGGTTATAACTACATACCCTTCTAACAAACCAGGTAGCAAACAGTTCAGCACACCTCATTAAACTTTCTTTAAAAGTTCTTGCTGCTCTATGGTTGGAATTTCCTCTGTCTTCATAAGATGGATGTGAAATCTGTAATCTTCCTGTTGGAAAATAAGGTGACTGTAAATATATATGACTGTAAATATTCACTGACAGTACAGAAACCAGGATTACAGACCTGCCAGAACTCTCTTGATCCTGTGTGACGGAACTTATCTCTGTACCATCACTGCATCCAGCCTCCTTGCCTCTTGGACTTTCTTCCAAATGGGGATGAACACAAAGGAGTTATGAGACGTATTTGCATATTCATCCTCTTCTGAGGGTCCTCTCTGTGACAGCTGGCCTGAGGTTGTTATAAAACATCCTTTTAATTGTTGACTTCCACTGTGTTCTACAAGTATAACCTCATTTTGTTGCTAATAACTTTCAGCAATAGGTAATGGTCCTTGTACCACTGTTGAAAAGTTTACTAAGATTTGGTAACTGTGTAATTCCAGATCTTGTCAGTAATACTCTACAATGTATAGATTATGAGGTTTTATATATTTAAAGTCTAAACATCTTTTTGGAGATAACTTTAAAGTTACTTCTTCATTGTCATAGAATTTCAAAAGGTACTTAGCAACATACTATTCTAAAAAGCCTACTCTGTTTCTATAGTCTCTTGTTTATTTTGCCTCCTCCACCCCATTACTTAAATCTAGAAGCTATTTTGCTATTGTACCTCTACCTGCAATTTCAGTTACTTCACAGCAAGTGAAATTGCACATAAAGTAAAGTTTATAGCTGCTTTTGTTTATATTGACCAAATCAAGAAATCAGTTGACTAAATTAGAAGGCTTTGGTGATTTGATTCTCTCACCAAACTCCCCATTTTCTTTAGATTGATGTTAAAGATGAGGTATGTGAAGAAAGCAGCATTCTACTGGAAAAGTATATTGCACGCTATGTTAGAGCCTTTGCTATTGCGTATGTTAGTGATTGTTCATCACCATTTGTACCCATCCTGTCTTACTGCGGCTCAGGCTGAAGTTTGTTAGCTATACCATTCCCAAGAGCCATCCCTACCCTTGTGACCAGCATATCTGATGTACAGCCAGGCTTCTGCCAGAAGGAAATAAATGAAGTTTCAGGAAAATAAGAAAGTATATATTTGCTTCTTCAGCTTGAATTGGAAATTATTTCAGCTGTCTCTTACAAGCAGGAAGAGAAGAGGTTTCTTACAGCCTTGGGGAAGTGTATTTTGGGAGTGGGCCTGTTAAAAGCTTTTCAGCAGCATGTCTTGCTGGAGCCTGCAGCGGTGATAGCCATGGGTCAGGTCACATCACCTTGGGGTACCCGAAATCCCACCTGCTGCCCCGAATACAAGGGCTAAAGTGTCTGCTCTTCAGAGGGGGAGGAACCAATTTTGAGTATGGTGCGAACTGGGCTAATTTAAGATTGCTTGCCTTCTTACCTGCTAACAGACACCTAATGAGTTAAGCGTTGAGGGACAGAGGACGGGGAGGGCAGCGTGGCTGCGGGACCGCAAGGCTTCCACGAGATGGTGCTGCAGCCCGGGCGATCCCCCAAACCGGCCACGGCAGGGGGAGGTCGTTGCCTTGTTCTGCTGCTATTATATTCTTAAGCCTCTTTTATTAATCAAGCTATCTGTAGGGATAACAGCGAGTTGTTTGTTAATAGATACCGTGGCCAGTTTTGTGGATGATTCAGTTATACTTCTCCCAGTTCTCATTTGGGGATGACACCGATTTTGCTCCATGAATTCTCATTGCTTGTTCCCTGGGGTGGTATGTCGTGGTAAATCTCCTGATTCTCTCATTTCTCCCGTGCTAACAAGGGAACAGTTGGTGTAGTTTTAAAAGTGAGTGCACTAGAAATACCTCCTTAGGTCCAAATTTTACAGATCCTTGGAAATGGGTAGGGTAGTTTAATTTTTGTTACAGAGAGTGCCCAAATTCTAGAAGCGGGCAAAGCAGAATCACTTTTTCCTGGGTCCTAGGCTGTTTTAAACAGCAAATGTGCTTAGGGGGTCCATATGTCACTCATTAATGCCCATTCAAATATCTTTCTGTAGGTTTGGTTGGAAGTGAAATTGGGACATCAGTCCGCTGGCAGTGTGTTCTGGTATTAGCTCTGCCTTTTTGCTCCTGAAATCTCAGACCTTGCAGGACAGTTTTTGAAGTGTTGGGGATCCCTGTGCTGTGACTCTGTAAGGAACAGTCCTACAAATGCATTCCCCTGTGATGCTGAGATTATCAATACACAGCAGTGACAGCCAGGGATTTGTTAAACTAGCAAAATAAATACACGAATGACTAGGCTTCTGTTGTGTTCATGAACTAAATCAGGCCACAAAAAGGGCCTGGTATTGCCAGTGTAAGGGAGAAGGTAAAACAGCAGTCTTGGACGTGGGAGGAGAACAAGGCACTATGGAGAAGGCAAATTTTCTTCACTTTTGGCAACAGAGAATAGAGCTGCTTTGCCTCCTTGTGTGATGTCATATTAAGTTGGAAGTCTAGGAATCCTTTCAAGTTAATGGAGGCAGGAAGGCCCACAATTAAAGTGCTCGGAATTATCCTTCAGAGAATCCATGGACTATATAGCTAACTTAACTAGTTTGCCAAATGTCTAGAGTTAGGAAGTGTGAATAGTGTCTTCAGATATGTCAAATGAAAAGGACCTTCTTAAACATCTAATTTGGATTAATAATTCATTTTTTAAACATATGACCTTTTATTCCTCATAAAAAGTAAAACTGATTATTGGTAGGTATTGAGAAATTATTCTGAAAATATTTCAGCTAGCCTTAAATCCATATGCCCACCTTTGGCCTGGTGCATATGAGGAAGACTTCTGTTTTTTTTAGT